CATGAGGGGGTCGTTCGCACTCCCACCCCTCATACATGATAGGTCGTTGGCACTCCAACCCCTCATACATGAGAGTCGTTGACAGTCCCCGCCCCTCATACATGAAGGTCTTTGACACTCCCACCCCTCATACATGAGAGGTCGTTGGCACTCCAACCCCTCATACATGAGAGGTCGTTGACAGTCCCGCCCCTCATACATGAGAGGTCGTTGACACTCCCACCCCTCATACATGAGAGGTCGTTGGCACTCCCACCCCTCATACATGAGAGGTCGTTGACACTCCCACCCCTCATACATGAGAGGTCGTTGACACTCCCACCCCTCATACATGAGAGGTCGTTGACACTCCCACCCCTCATACATGAGAGGTCGTTGACACTCCCGCCCCTCATACATGAGAGGTCGTTGACAGTCCCGCCCCTCATACATGAGAGGTCGTTGACACTCCCACCCCTCATACATGAGAGGTCGTTGACAGTCCCGCCCCTCATACATGAGAGGTCGTTGACAGTCCCGCCCCTCATACATGAGAGGTCGTTGACAGTCCCGCCCCTCATACATGAGAGGTCGTTGACAGTCCCGCCCCCTCATACATGAGAGGTCGTTGACAGTCCCGCCCCTCATACATGAGAGGTCGTTGACACTCCCGCCCCTCATACATGAGAGGTCGTTGACAGTCCCGCCCCTCATACATGAGAGGTCGTTGACAGTCCCGCCCCTCATACATGAGAGGTCGTTGACAGTCCCGCCCCTCATACATGAGAGGTCGTTGACACTCCCACCCCTCATACATGAGAGGTCGTTGACAGTCCCGCCCCTCATACATGAGAGGTCGTTGACAGTCCCGCCCCTCATACATGAGAGGTCGTTGACAGTCCCGCCCCTCATTACATGAGAGGTTCGTTGACAGTCCCGCCCCTCATACATGAGAGGTCGTTGACACTCCCGTCTAAGAATATAGTTATAAAACATTTCCTTGTTGAGTTAAATAGTTTAGCTCATAAATTTTACTGTCGAATTTGAACAAAATAACTCAGTCTTTTTTACATGTCTTAATTATTAAGGAGAACCATGATATTATATGCAAAATATAGAGAAAACTAACAAATAACTATTATTCTTCACATCATAATAGTTGAACTTTCTGTATGATCATCCATATTTTTGAGAACTTTGTTTATTTACAGCCCAGAGTTCATAGATGAAGGAATTTTGAAGACTTGTGAAATAGCTAATGATTTAAAATACACAAAATACTTAACTAATAAATCCTTTAAAATTGCTAGAAATACAATTTAAGATTTAAGAAAGTACAGTCATATACACTCAAGAATATGTTGGTTCTCCCTCACCATGAAAACTTTCTTGATATACTTTCTCAACTTAAGAATTTTCAAATCAAAATTGTTTAAAAGCCTTGATACAGTATTAAAAAATATTTATTAAAAATTCCGCCAAAAATGCTGATGGCTGTGTCTATCAGGTTCCTTGTAAAGAATGTGATAAAGTTTATTATGGTAAAACTGGGAAAAGTCTTGAACTAAGATTACAACATAAATATAACATTAGAACTAGACAAGAGTAAAGGCGCTACTGATGTGAAAGATTTTATTCACCCACTTGGGTTTCAAATGGCCGAGAAAGTTGTATGAAGGAGGTCTATGGCTGAGAGAAATATAGTTAAATCAAACTTAATAATAATAAATAGTTTTGATTTTAATATGTATATTGGTTTAGGATTATATACCTCTTCACAGGGGGGGGGGAGGCTCCTTGACGTGGCAAAGAGGCTCTTGGTCTGAAGAATCAGACCCTTTGGACTCCTTCCTCAGACCGAACCTAATTACCCTCCCATCCCTATCCCATCCTCCCCATCCTCACTTTTCCCTTTTCCTCCCCAACTCCCAACCCTCCCCTTTTCCCATCCCGTTTGTAGCCTCTGGGGTCCTCCTCTCATGCATTACGGTTTCTAGATTGGGAAAGTGTGCCTGGGTTCATCCTGCTCCGTGAGGTTTCTCGGGTGTGGTGTTTTTTTGCCGTGGAATCTGGATTATCTGGAGGCGTCCTGCTCCCTTCCCAGATTTCCGAGACGTGGGGCGGGGTGTCCTGCAGGTGACGAGTGTATCGCCTGTCAGTTCTGGGAGGTGGCAGTCGAAGAAGGTATGCTTTGTGGTGGGTATCCGACCACCCTCTCTTTTGTCCAGCGAGGTGGCTCGGTAGATGTGAGGTTGCTATCCCCGAGCGTTGGTTTACTGGCGTGAAGGGTAAGGTATCTGCACTCCTTGCAGTCTCGAGGTCTTCTCGGATGAGATGGGAAATTTACGGCCTTTCATGACTTCTAGTGACTGTCCCTCTGTTTTTGTTCTTTCCTTCTTTCTTTTTTTCTTTAAAATAACAATAAAAAGAAGTACCATCATCATTTAGTCTTCATTCTGTGATAACCCTTCTCCTTCCAGGTCCCTTCTTGGTACCGCATCCCGTTCTGACCCGGCTTCGTTACTGGTCCCTTGGTACCGCACCCGTTCTGACCCGGCTTCGTTATTGCACCATTCTCCAGACTTTTCCATTACTCCTGTACCTTCTGCTGGTGATACTTCATCACTTTTTCTTGTAGACGGTTCTGCCTTTGACTTACAATCACTTTTTGACTTTGTCAGCAACTGCTTTCCTATACGAACTTTGACACATAGGCCTTAGCGTCCCTTCCAGCCCTTTTCTCCCCTCTCCGTCTAGCTGTTTATAGCCGCAGCACTATTTTCTGCCCCACAGTGCTGCATGACCCTTATGGTTTAGTGCTTTCTTTGATTATATTAGTTAGGATTATAAAAATTAAACTCATTTATAATTAATAAAATTTGGGAAGAATTTAAGCAATGCATGTCAGGTCCTTGACATTATCTTCTGCATTTTAGTGAGACGAGAGTAATGTATGTGAGGTGATATCTCAGTCTTATAAGACGAGAGTAATGTATGTGAGGTGATATCTGTCTTATAAGACGAGAGTAATGTATGTGAGATGATATCTCAGTCTTGTAAGACGAGAGTAATGTATGTGAGGTGATATCTCAGTCTTATAAGACGAGAGTAATGTATGTGAGGTGATATCTCAGTCTTATAAGACGAGAGTAATGTATGTGAGGTGATATCTCAGTCTTATAAGACGAGAGTAATGTATGTGAGGTGATATCTCAGTCTTATAAGACGAGAGTAATGTATGTGAGGTGATATCTCAGTCTTATAAGACGAGAGTAATGTATGTGAGGTGATATCTCAGTCTTATAAGACGAGAGTAATGTATGTGAGGTGATATCTCAGTCTTATAAGCCTTCTGCTAGTCTATTACTTGCACAGGTGTTATAATTTGAGAAATCACGAAAACACAATGAAGTTCACTATTTTTTTTCACAGTGATTATTTTGAAAATTGTGATATAACCTGTTTACTGTCATCTTATTGCAATATATATATTATATATATATATATATATATATATATATATATATATATATATATATATATATATATATATATATATATATATATAATATAAACCATTAATTATTAACTATATATTTGATTTTTTCCACAGGTATATAGAGAACGAAATGCATAGAGGAAGAGTAGATAGTCAATTCTGGCATGAATAGGTGGACAAACAATTACTACGGACAGAGCAAGGGTGGTGATGTGTTAGACTATCAGTCCCGCTCAGCAGTGGTGACTGGTGGTGCCTCTGCTGTCAGGCAGCAGCAGCAGCGTCCCAACAGTGATAGCAGACTTAACGAGAAGGTTGCTCACCTGTTGGTGTACCGCGTGGTACACCTTACGGAGGTCACACTCAGATCATTTATTGAGCGTCAAGGAATCCCCGTTCTTAAGGTACAACAAGTGTCTCGTGAGGAATCCATGTACAAGTCGTTCTTAGTGACAGTGAGGCAAGACGACGCTGCTGCATTATTACACAGGACCTTCTGGCCTGGCCTAGTGGCATGCAGGTTGTTGGGTGACGGTGGGGAAGTGTTGGGGAGCAGCACCTTCTTCACCGGCCCACCAGTTACTTCCCAACCCAAACATGGTAAGTATGGTTTATGCTTTGTATTACGTAAGAACATCAGAGAGGAGGAACACTGCAGCGGGCGTATTGGCCTTCACAATCCATCCCAACCAAATTTTTAGTGCTACCCAAGCAATAAGCTTTGATAATTATATTTACTCATGTGCATGTCCCACTAAAACCCAACCCCTCACTAAATTTGAAACTACTGAAGGTTTTAGCCTCAATAGCTCTACTAGGCAGACTGCTCCACTCTTCAACTACCCTATTTCTTTTCTATATCCTATGTAAATCTAAACTTGTCTAATTTAAGCCCATTACTGCGGGTTCTCTCTTGGAGAGATATCCTCAAGACCTTATTAATATCCCCTTTATTAATACCTATCTTCCACTTATACACTTCGATCAGGTCTCCCCTCATTCTTCGTCTAACAAGTGAATGTAATTTAAGAGTCTTCAATCTTTCTTCTTAAGGAAGATTTCTAATACTTTGTATTAATTTAGTCATTCGTCGCTGAATGTTTTCTAACGAATTTATGTCCATTCTGTAATATCAAGACCAGAACTGAGCTACATAATCTAGGTGAGGCCTTACTAATGATGTATAAAGCTGCAGTATAACTGCTGGATTTCTGTTACACTTCCTGGTATAAATCCCAGTAATCTATTTAATATTAATAATAATATTTAATATTATCTTTATATGTACATGTACAAGGTATACAGACCTAGCTGACATCAGTGACATACTACTCTATAGAAAGCCAATTCTAGGCAGAGCATTTCGGGCTATTTGCCTTATTACGTACGCTTAGGCACTGCTGTCTTGGTTTAAGGTTGCTGCTTACCATAACCCCCAAGTTCTTTTCGCATTCTGTAGGGCGAAGTTCAACATTATTAAGCTGGTAGGTGCTAGGGTTATGAACATTTCCTAAGTTTAGAACTTTGCATTTATCTACTTTGAACTGCATCTGCCACTTTTCTGACCACGAATTAAGTTTGTCTAAATCCTTCTGAAGTTCCGTGACATCTGCGTTTGAGTCTATTATCCTACCTATCTTCGTGTCATCAACGAATTTGCTCACATCACTAGTAATTCTCTCGTCAAGGTCATTTATATATATTATAAACAACAATGGCCCGGTGGCCTGGTGGCTAAAGCTCCCGCTTCACACACGGAGGGCCCGGGTTCGATTCCCGGCGGGTGGAAACATTTCGACACGTTTCCTTACACCTGTTGTCCTGTTCACCTAGCAGCAAATAGGTACCTGGGTGTTAGTCGACTGGTGTGGGTCGCATCCTGGGGGACAAGATTAAGGACCCCAATGGAAATAAGTTAGACAGTCCTCGATGACGCACTGACTTTCTTGGGTTATCCTGGGTGGCTAACCCTCCGGGGTTAAAAATCCGAACGAAATCTTATCTTAACTGATCCCTGTGGAACGCCACTTTTTACAGATCCCCCACTCAGATTTAACCATATTATGCGCACTGCTTCCTATTGGTGAGCCTTGACTCGATCCATAACAGCACTTTCCCTCCAATACCATGAGCTGCCACTTTCTTTAACAGTCTCTGGTGCGGTACTCTATCAAAAGCCTTACTAAAATCCAAATAAACAATATCGAATCAATGGCCTCAAAAGCTTTACTGAAGAAGGTTAATAAACTAGTCAGACAGGAACGGCCCCTCGTGAATCCATGTTGAGTATCAATCAAATTATGCTTATCAAGATGACTTCTCATATTATCAGCGATAACTGACTCGAGTAATTTGCCTACAATCGAGGTTAGGCTTTTTGGACGGTAATTTGACGGTAACGACTTGTCCCCTGTTTTAAAAATAGGAATTACATTAGCCATCTTCCACATATCAGGCACAACACCTGTTTGAAGAGATGTATTAAAAATATTAGTTAATGGTTCACAAAGGTCCATTTTGCATTCCTTAAGAACCATTGAAAAAAGTTCATCAGGGCCCGGGGATTTATTTTGCTTCAGTCGGTCTATCTGTTTGATAACCATTTCGCTAGTGACTGTGATATTGCATAATTTATCTTCTTCAAGCCCACTATAAAACCTAATTACTGAGATATTGTTAGTGTGAGATATTGTTAGTGTCTTCCTGAGTGAAAACCAAGAGAAAATAAATACTGAAACTCGAGTACATTTCATTCTCCTTGTCAGTAAGATGCCCAAAATTATTTTTAAGGTGACCTATCTTTTATCTAACTTTTGTTCTATAAAACTGGATAAAACGTTTTGGGCTAGTTTTAGAGTCCCTAGCAACTTTATTTCGTAGTCCCGTTTAGCTTTTCTTATCTCCTTTTTAAGGTCCCTCTTAATGTCACTATACCGGTTCGTAAGATGACCCTCACCTCTTTTGATGCCACTGTGTGGCGAAACGTTTCCTTAATAAAGATTCCCATATGTTGCATAAGTGTCTCATTCTTCAACTTGTCCGTTTTCAAAACTATTTGTCACACACAAACCTACTTCCAAATGTATGCTTACTAAATTTATACTTACAGCACAGGTGTCTGGCTGGGCACGGGTGCAGGGCAGAACTGACTCCACATTCAGCAACAAGACGATACCCGTCACAGAAACGCAGAGACTCCTGCCATACCAAACTGCCATTCAGGTTTCTTCAGGGTCGTTAAAGAACTCCACACGTACAGGTAGTAAAGACAAAGACAGAGAGAGCCCACATATAAGGAATAAGATGAAGGTGGGTAACAGGAAGCGAGTAAACGGCATGAAATCAGGAATAAGAAAAATCAGCACTAATGTAAACACTGATAGAAAAGTGAAACAAAAGGAAAATACGTTAGGTGATGAGAGAGAAGGAAAAAACGTTCAAGGCAATGTGAAACACAGGCAGAAGAATAAATCAGGTAACAAGCATAACAGTGCCCCAGAGAGAACTAGTGTGAAGCACGGACTCTTAAAGAAAGAAGATGAGAACGTGCATGATGAAAATAAAGACCTCACAGGAGGAAGAGAAAGACGTGAGGGTAATAAAAGTGAAATGGCTAAAGAAAAAGGCCAGAGAAAAGCTTCTCATAAAACTAAGAACAGAAAAAGTACTCAAAATATCAATGGGGAAAAACCCAAAGGTGACAAATTTGGAAAAACCAAAGGCAAAAGTTCTCCAAATAAAACCAGCAAAGATGGAGGACCTATGAGCAAACACATAAACGGCCGAAACTGGAACAGTGGTCCCAAGCCACATGATCTGCCAAGGAAGGATGCAACAAAGACCAACACCAATATAGTTACAATTAGAAAAGACAATAAGGACTCACAGGAAGAAAAATTTACCAACTGGGATATGTCTCTGAGAAAACTTTTAATTCTTGCCCCAGAGGAAGCTGTTTCCAGACTTATTATCCTCTCAATGGACGAGGCTCCTTATCCCAGGACTATATAAACAATGATGAGCTTTTCCCGGGCATTAAAGTTTTGGCTCACTCAGCGCGGGCCGAGAGTAGTCCAGATACCATGAAAAAAAATTCGTGTACAAAATCTGTCAGCCTCAAATAGTAAATCTTTTTAAGACCTTTTCCGTAACAGTAGAGAGGCAGTACCCAGAGAGGGCCGAGAGCTATTTCTGGAATCTGGGCTGAATTTCTCTGGATGTATATATGTCAATGATATGTTCCCATAAATAATATGTCAAGCTGTTTACACCTGTTTGTCAAAGTTATGGCTCCTAAAATTACTAATCCTAAATCGGTGAGCGAACGACCTAGTGAAGGTGTACAGAACTATGCAGGATCGTGTGCGAAGTCAAGTCGGAAATACGAGTAGGTTTAATATGTTGTGTGGACGAGGCTCAGGCAGGAGGGAGAAACCAGATGTCCGCCAACAGAAAGAACGATAAACCCAGCCAAGGGCCGCAATCGAATTAATTCAAAAGCAACAAGAATGAAAGTCACTATTTTACCGTAAAATCCGACCTAGGGCTCGGGCATAAGAGTATTTAAGGTGGCGGCACCGCTGTCAGTGCCTGAATATATTACGCAACCAAGAACCGACGAAACTCCACCAAGCATTGCACATAAAACGAAGCTAAGATAAGATAAGATAAGATAAGATTTCGTTCGGATTTTTAACCCCGGAGGTTAGCCACCAACCCAGGATACCCCAAGAAAGTCAGTGCGTCATCGGAAGGGGGGGACTGTCAACTATTTCCCCATTGGGTCCTAATCTTGTCCCCCAGGATGCGACCCACACCAGTCGACTAACAACCCCAGGTACCTATTTGCTGCTAGGTGAACAGGACAACAGACAGTAGATAGAAACGTGTCGATTCCACCCCGCCCGGGAATCGAAGACCCGTGCCCTCCGTGTGTGAAGCGGGAGCTTTAGCCACCAGACCGACCGGGTCACCCAAATAATAAAAGCAATATTAAAGAAGACGACGACATAGAAAGCTTTTCATTGAATTATTATCTCCTAACACAAGACGGTCACTGTTTAATTTGCAGGTAAAATATGGTTTTTTTCTTGTTTCGAATTAGTCACAACACTTATAGTAGGACAGTTGGAACATTTTATTTAGGTTGAGCTGGTAATCCAAGACAATCTCAGTGAAGTGGTTATTAATCTGATGGGCGATCTGTTGAAAGCTGTCCTTAATTAAGAGTACAATGATAATATCCCAGGAGGCCAGAAATGAAGTTTGATTCAAGAATAGTCGAGAGACGGGCCAGACCTGTACTCCAGAGCAGTCAGCAATCACAGACAGCGACCCTCGTTAAATTGATTTCAAAAGATATGTTTGTATTTCTATTGAGTACTAATTTGATTAGTACGTGTGTATTTACCTGAGTGTATAACGTGTGTGTCGCTGTCCTGCTGTGTATATAACAAGTGAAATTACATCGTGCGTATTTATTTTCTTTTTATTTCCCTTTGTTCGAACTTGCGTAGCAACCTGGCCCCTGATAAACTGCCGCGTAGGCAAAACCTGGCCCCCGGATAAACTTGCATAGGCAAAAAAACCTGGATCCTGATAAAACTTGGCGTAGCAACCTGCTTCTGATAAACTTGCGTAGCAACCTGGCCCCTGATAAACTTGCGTAGCAACCTGGCTTCCTGATAAAACTTGCCGTAGCAACCTGGCTTCTGATAAACTGCGTAAGCAACCTAGCCCCCTGATAAACTTGCGTAAGCAACCTGGCCCCATGATAAACTTGCGTAGCAAACCTGGCCCCTGATAAACTTGCGTAGCAACCTGGCTTTCTGATAAACTTGCGTACAATCCACCTGGCTTCTGATAAACTTGCGTAGCAAGCTGGTCCCTGATAAACTTGCGTAGCAACCTGGTCCCTGATAAACTTGCGTAGCAACCTGGCCCCTGATAAACTTGCGTAGCAACCTGGCCCCTGATAAACATGCGTATCAACCTGGCCCTGAAAAACTTGCGTAGCAACCTGCTTCTGATAAACATGCGTACAAAACCTGGCCCCTGATAAACTTGCGTAGCAAACCTGGCCCTGCCCTTGATAATCCTTGCGTAGCAACCTGGCCCCTGATAAACTAGCGTAGCAACCTGGCTTCTGATAAACTTGCGTAGCACAACCTGGCTTCCTGATAAACTTGCGTAGCAACCTGGTCCCTGATCAACTGCGTAGCAACCTGCCCTGATAAACTTGCGTAGCAACCTGGCCCCTGATAAACTTGCGTAGAAACCTGGCTTCTGATAAACTTGCGTAGCAACCTGGCTTCTGATAAACTTGCGTAGCAACCTGGTCCCTGAAAACTTGCCGAGCAACCTGGTCCCCTTATTAAACTTGCGGTAGAAAACTGTCCCCGGAAAAACTTCGGTAGCAAACCTGGTCCCCTGATAAACTTTTTCGTAGCAACACCTGGTCCCTGATAAACTTCGTAGCATCCTGGTCCCTGATAAACTAGCATACTACCCGGTCCCTGATAAACTTGCGTAGCAACCTGGTCCCTGATAAACTTGCGTAGCAACCTGGCCCCTGATAAACTTGCGTAGCAACCTGGTCCCTGATAAACTTGAGTACAACCTGTTCCCTGATAAACTTGCGTAGCAACCTGCTGGCCCCCTGATAAACTTGCGAAGCAACCTGGCCCTGATAAACTTTCGTAGCAAACCCTGGTCCCTGATAAACTGCGTAGCACAACCTGGCTTCCTGATAAACTTGTCGTAGCAACCTTGCCCCTGATAACTTGCGTAGCAACCCTGTTCCCTGATAAACTTGCCGTAGTCAACCTGGCCCCTGATAAACTTGCGAAGCAACCTGGCCCCTGAATTAAACTTGCGTAGCAACTGGGCCCCTGATAAACTTGCGTAGCAAACCTGGTCCCTGATACAACTTGCGTACAATCCTTGTCCCTGATAAACTTGCATAGCAACCTGGGACGCCGACCCTGATAAACTTGCGGTAGCAACCAGGCCCATGATAACTTGCGTAGGCAACCTGGCCCCTGATAATCTTGCGTAGCAACCGGGTCCCTGATAAACTTTGCGTAGCCAACCTGGCCCCTGATAAACTATGCGTAGCAACCTGGCCCCTGATATACTATGCGTAGGCAAACCTGGCCCCTGAATAAACTTGCGTAGCAAGCAACCTCTTCTTCTGATAAACTGTTGCGTAGCAACCTGGTCCCAGATAATTTGCGTACAAAAACCTGGTCCTTGACAAACTTGCGTAGGCACAACCTGGCCCCCTGATTAAACCTTGCGTAGCAACCTGGCCGCCTGATAAACTTGCGTAGCAACCTGACCCCCTGATAAACTTGCGAGAGCACAACCTGGTCCCCCTGATCAACTTGCGGTAGCAACCTGGTCCCTGATAAACTTTGCGTAGCAACCTGGCCCCTGAATATAACGTGCGTAAACAACCCTGGTCCCCCTGAAAACTTGCGTAGCATCCTGGGCCCTGATAAATATGCGTAGCAACCTGGCCCCTGATAACTTTAGCGTAGCAAACCTGGCCCCTGATAAACTTGCGTACAACCTGGCCCCGAATAAACTTGCGTAGCAACCACCCTGGCCCCCTGATAAACTTGCGTAGCAACTTTGTGCCCGGATAAACTTGCGTAGCAACCGGCCCCTGATAAACTTGCGTAGCACAACCTGGTCCCAGATAAACTTGCGTAAGCAACCTGGTCCCGATAAACTAGCATACAACCTGTCCCCTGATAAACTGCATAGCAACCTGATCCCTGATAAATCCTTTGCATAGCAACCTGGTCCCTGATAAACTTGCATAGCATCCTGGTCCCTGATAAACTTGCATAGCAACCTGGTCCCTGATAAACTTGCGTAGCAACCTGGCCCCTGATAAACTTGCATAGCAACCTGGTCCCTGATAAACTGCGTACAACCTGGTCCCCTGATAAACTTGCGTAGCAACCTGTCCCCCCCCTGATAAACTTGTGTATAGCAAACCTGGTCCCTGATACACTTCGTGAGCAAGCTGGTCCCCTATAAACTTGCGTAGCAACCTGGGCCCCAGATAAACTTCGTAGCAACCTGGCTCCTGATAAACTTGCGTAGCAACCTGGCCCCTGATAAACTTGCAGCAACCTGGCCCCTGATAAACTTGCGGTAGAAAACCTGCTTCTGATAAACTTGCGTAGACAACCTGGCTTTCTCTGACATAAACTTGCGTAGCAACCTGGTCCGCTGATAAAACTTTGCGTAGCAACCTGGTCCCAGATAAACTTGCGTAGAAACCTGCCCCTGATAAACGTGCGTACAACCTGGTCCCTGATAAACTTCGTAGCAACCTGGTCCCTGAAAAACTTGCGTATCAACCTGGTCCCTGATAAACATATGCATAGCAACCTGGTCCTGATAACTTGCGTAGCAACCTGGTCCCTGATAAACTTGCGTAGGCAACCTGGCCCTGATAAACCTTGCGTAGCAACCTGGTCCCTGATAAACTTGAGTAGCAACCTGTTCCCTGATAAACTTGCGTAGCCAACCTGGCCCCTGATAAACTTGCGTAGCAACCTGGTCCCTGATAACTTGCGTATGCAACCTGGTCCCTGATAAACTTTGCGTAGCAACCTGCTTCTGATAAACTTGCGTAGCAACCTGGCCCCTGATAAGACTTGCGTAGCCACCTGGTCCCTGATAAACTTGCGTAGCTACCTGGCCCCAGATAAACTTGCGTAGCAACCTGGCCCCTGAAAAACTTGCGTAAGCAAACCTGGCCCCTGATATAACCCTTGCGTAGAACCTGGTCCCTGATAAACTTGCGTAGGCAACCTGTCCGAAAAAACTTGCATAGCAACCTGGCCCCTGATAAACTTGCCGTAGCAACCTGGCCCCTGATAAACTTGCGTAGCAACCTGGCCCCTGATAATCGTGCGTAGCAAAACCCTGGTCCCTGATTAAACTTGCTAGCAAACCTGGCCCCTGATAAACTTGCGTAGGCAACCTGGCCCCTGATAAACTTGCGGTAGCGAAACCTGGCCCCTGATAAACTTGCGTAAGTCAACACCTGGCTTCTGATAAACTTGCGTAGCACCTGGTCCCTGATAAATTTTGCGTAGCAACCTGGTCCTTGACAAACTAGCGTAGCAACCCTGGCCCCTGATAAACTTGGCGTAGCCAACCTGCCCCTGATAAAACGTGCGTAGA